TAAATGAACAAAATGCTATTCCGATATTTCGATTTTCGGATATTTTATGTTTTATTTTCAAATATAACAAATATATTTCGATATTTTGAGGGATTAAAAAAAGGATTGCGAGAATATAAATTTTAGAATTTCTGGAATTATTAAAAATATTGAAGTTGAAATTAAATATGAATGAATTTCATCCAGGAAAATGCTATTTTTCATTTATTCTTAACTAATCAAAAATGAAAATTTTGATTTTTGGTTTTTAGTTCTTTTTTTTTTTAAATATTCATTACAAAAAAACAAAAAGAAAAAAAAAACGAACAACATACCACGTTTATTAAATGGACGAACACGTACAGCAACTTTTACTTTCCCTTCTTCCTCAATTTCCATTTTAATTCCAGTATTTCGGTAATAAAATATAGTTTGTTGAAAGTAATTAGCAAATAAAAATTATATTGATGGAATGAAATAAATCGTAGAAACGTAAGCAATACGTGGAATATGATATGATAAACAACCAAAAAAAGTTTTTGAAATGTCGCATCAATTTCACTTGCATATACGTTTACAATTCATTCTTTTAAGCGCTTAACGATTCTAAAAATTTTGGATAACTTTAATCTACGTTGAGAAGTTAGAATTTACGCATTAACACCGTGTATTACTTAGATAAAATGAGAGTTATAACGTAGTCCGTGCGTAATGTTACGCATTAACACCGTGTATTATTTAGATAAAATGAGAGTCATGATGTAATCCGTGCGTAACGTTACGCATTAACACCGTGTATTACTTAGATAAAATGAGAGTTATAACGTAATCCGCGTTTAATCCGTTGTTACGTATTAATGTCGTGTTTTGTTTAGATAAATGAAAGATATGATGTGATCCGTATGTAAAGCTTGAAATTAACAATTTGACATATAAAGTGTAAATGATCATTAAGATAATGTTGAAATGAAATTGTGATAAGAATGATATGAACGATAATTTTCGCAGTTTACAAATTAAAATAATTGATTGAAAATATCGTTTCTAATAATACCAAGAAATAAAAATTAATAGTGGAGAGAAAAATAAATATGATAAGACAAACAGGTGGAAATATACAGGTGAGTTTGGAATAAAACTTGAGCATATTTAAAGTAAAATATATATCGATAAACGAATGTACATCATCTCAATACTTACGTGGAATTAATAATTGATGTTCATACGTGAATATGTGTCACGTAAAACAAACGATACTTACGTAGAATTAATAATTTATGTTGATATGTGAATATGCGTCACGTAAAATAAACGATACTTACGTGGAATTAATCATTTAAGAATGAATATGAAGAGTGTAAAAAAAAAAAGGATATATCGACAAACATTGATATATGATGGTAAAGAAAAGGAAAAAAGAAATGATAAGTGAAAGCGTTTATCAAAGAATATGCTAGTATATTCTTATAATTAATCAATATCTATCAGATACTCTAATCATTATCTATTTAATTAATTATCTTCCCGTGTATCATAAAGCCCATGTACAATATGATTGATAATTCTATTTTTCCTATCTCATTAACTAATTTGAATTTTTTTTTCTTGAGTGAATAAATGAACAAGCTATTCAATTTTTGCACGAATAAAATACCGGTTTCAGTAAAATACCTGCTTCTGTTTATTTGAAAAATTGAATTTTGTTAGATAATCGAATAAATTACCTGAATCTTTCAAGAAATTTAAATAAAATACCTGTTCCTGCATGATTGTTCCTAATTAAACTACCTGTATTTTTGCAGGATGTTTGATTAAATTACCTGTTTTTGTAAAATTTATGAGATAATTTTGTGAATAAGAAAGATTTTAATGATACAAGTTTTTAACATTTATATATGATGAAGATGGATAAGAACCGGTTCTTCCCAGAATAGGAATGAAGAGAGTATTTATAATAATAAATTGATGATAAGGTAGGATTTATCATTTTCCAAAAAATTTATGAAAGTAATGGATTTGAAAAGTTTATTTATTAATTAAGAAACAATCAATTAGACTTGAAATAGATTAATGTTAATGAAATAAAATTTGAATCTGAATTCAAAATCAATATCACAAAATTAGATTAAATATCGGAGAGTTTGGATATTAAAGGATATTTTCTAATGATAATATTGCAACAATAAGCCAGATATGATCAATCAAGGATAAGCATTCCAAGATAAGCACAATGATAACAGTTTAAGTTTCATTTGTAAGAGATAACTTGTTTTAGCAGTTTATTAGCATTAACATAAATTAACAATCAATTAAACATCTCATTAATTAGCGATAATATTGAATATTTATGATCAGTAAATCTATCCTTTACTAAAAAAAGAAAATATGTAATCTCATGAAAGTGAATTAGTGAAAAAAATATTGTAAAAAAAAAAAATCGTTATGAAAAAAATTAATTAATTAAATTTTTGTTAGTAATTAATTTCATGAGTAAATCATTTCTTTGTTGAATAAGACATAAATAAATGTTTTTTTTTCTTTTTTTAAAATAATTTTCCCTCTTTTTATTTTGATTTGAAATTCAAAAAAAAAAAGGCGAAAGAACAAAAATGAAATGGGAAAAGATGGAAAAGAAAAATTTAATAAACAAAAAAGAAAAAAAATCGAGCCAAGCAAAAAAAAAGTAAAAAAATTGGACAAGAAAATGAGAAAATGTTATTTCTAAAAAAAA